GCTGGGGTGAGGATAGGGGATGGATGGATTAATAGTCCCTGGGTGAGGGATGACGGTGGCTCACTATTCGCCTCCTCCCTCGGCTCCCTTTCCCCCTCTTTTGTGGTGGTAACAAGGCCTGTAGATGCTGCTTGGCTGAGTGAGTAGCGAAAGGGAAAGCAGCCGCCATAGTCGTCGCTCTTCTGTGTTATGTTGCTCTCTCCTTTTGTTGTGGTCGTTCTTCTTTGCTGCGTTTCCCTATCGGCTCTGGTTTGGTATGTGGGCGGGCTGTTCTTTTTTCTTGGCGTTATTCTTCTTATTTGCTCGTTGTCTTCCATTTACTAGACATCAGCATATTTTCTCGCGTGCTTGGTCACGTTGTGATCTGTGGTTTTTCAACCACTGGAAGCTGTTTAAGAGTGAACGGAGAGAGAGAGAGAGAGAGAGGGAGAGAGGGAGAGAGAGATTCATAGTAAAAGGTAGAGAAAGTCTTTGGGCACTGAAGGCTCGAGACCCGGGGGGTTCCACACCGTCCATGGACACGCTAAGCTCATGAGTCATCGACTATAAACAAAGATATCCATGAGCACAATGGTTCTAAAATTTTCTATGAACCCATTTTCTACGAATTTTTAATGGTGCTTTCTCATTATCACCTGATTTTAAAACTTTATTCGTGAATTTAGGCAAATATCAATATACTCTTACCTGACAGTGGAACATCTTGTCTGCTTGGTAATGGCGTGCTTCCTTATCCTTCACACAATATATGAAAATTATTGGCAAAAGCATAGCAGATACGTAATACAGCATTTCAAAAAGCTAAGTAAGAACACAATTTTAAATCTGGCTTTTTCTCCCAAGGATGCATCTTTCCTCTGTTTATGCCGTGTGTGAAATCTCCAGTCATTCACCGTCGGCATGATTGATATCACCTCAATAATACCGGAGAAACAATAAAATATAATCGGCATAAGATAACCGCTCTAATAAAATAGAATCCTGGGTGTCCACCAGTTTCGACCCTGTTTTTATTTTCTTAATTTTCTCATTTTACGTAGTCTACCGTGTTTTTGTTATTTATGTCCTACAGAGTGGACAAGCATGGAAAGTTATTCCACGGACGGGAAGGGCTTATTAAAAATGCACGCAATTGCGCTAGTACACGATCGTCGCCAACCTCCGTCGGCCTCACAGTGAGGCAGTGCTGTTGAGGTAAGCGCACATGATTCTTGCAGAACCCACATGAACTTTTTGGTGCATCTTCGGGGGATCCACCTGCCGCCCCTACCGCCCCTGCCGCCTACAAAATCCTCCTGCTGCGTCTGATCTGTCTTCCGGTGATCGTACAAATCTGAAAGCCGTTCTTGGACGCTGTCTGTGGCGGGCGAACGCGGTGCGGGCCCCATCTTCCCTCCTCCCTCCTCCTTCCCCCCGCGCATCGCGCGTCCGATAGCGCGACCGGCTCTACGTCGGCGGTCGCCCCTGTGGAGAAGGTAATGTGCTCTGAGTCTGCGAATCTTGTGATTTACTCCGTTGAAGAGCTGAGTCGCCGGGGACGGTGTTGGCGACGGGGTCTTTCCGTTTCTTGCTTTCCTTTTTCCCTTGATCTGTTGGGGGTATCTTGATTTGACAGATTCTGTATCGCTTCGTAATCCCACGGGCATGGAATGGATCTGTATTGTCAGGCCGTCCGCGTGATCGGGAGGGAGGAGGAGATTCCTGGGTCTTCTCTGGAGGTGTCGGTCAGGAGTGGGATTTTGCGCGATTTGCTTGGAGAAGATCGTTCAGGAGACGGCTGTGGCCAAAGCTCGCGAGCACGCCTAGTGGTTTTTAATTCCTCTCGTTAGTTTTCTTGGACACCTCTCCATCCCTCTTGCTAGTATTTAACCCTATCTGGTTTCTCTCTCTCTCTCTTTCTCTGGCACACGCACTCTCTCTCTCTCTCTCCCTCTCTACTGTCCTCGGAGTTCCCCGAGTCCACGGTTCGTAGTCCGCTCTCCGCCTTGGAGAAGATCGTCGTCGTCTAGATCGCGAGAGCCTTTGTCCGGTTGCGTCGCCACTGTCTCGTCATCTACAGTGCCCAATCATCTCTTCTCCCTCTCCCTTTTATTATCTAAATCTCTCGTGTTTCTCTCGAGCATCATAAACCACCTTACGTCCACCACCGTTTAAATCTCTCGTGTGTCGTTACCCTGCTGAAGCACACACAAGTTGTTTCTTGTTCTCCATGTGCGGCGATGTTTACTCTGACAAAGCAAGTCAAATCTCATTTGACTTGGTGATTGCAATGTGAGTCAACCGTTACAAGAAACAGACGAGATTATGGCTGTGGTTTGTATTGTTGCGGCCGTCCACATGCATCATTGATAGTGTTTATTTTCCTGATTAGCAAAGCATGCGTAATATTTGTTTATTTTTTCCAGTCTATTGAATGTACGAGATTAAACTCAGAATTTTTAATCAATCAGCAAATGGTTACTCCTTTCGATTGTTGGCAGAATTTGAGATTTTTGTACTACTTGAACCCATTTATCTCCCGATATGGCCTACAATCTTACTCTGCATAATACCTGGGACTAACTTTTTCATTCAGTGTAGAGTTACGTATTAAACTCATTGTCTCAACGGTTTCCTTCATGGCCTAAAAATAACCATCGAGCAAGAGATCATGAACGCAATATCTGTAAATCTTTTATAATGTTTTCTCACTATCATGAATGCAATATCAGGAACTTTTTGGCGCGCTTTCGCGGGATGTACCTGCCGTCCCCCGACGCCTATAAGACCTGGTGCTGGGCGTCTGGTGATCGTTCCTATCAAGAAGCTTCTCGTGGACGTCTGGTGATCGTTCCTATCAAGAACCTGGTGAGTGCGCTGTTAGCCCCTTCTTTCCTCCTCCTGCCTTCTCCTCCTCGTTCCCCCAGCCCATCGCCCTTGCGGCATGGCAGGGGGCGTCCGGTAGCGCGACCGGGTCTACGTTGGCGTTCATCCCCGTGGAGAAGGTAATGCGCTCGGACTCTTGAGCTTTACTCCGTCGACAAGGAGTCGGGAGTCTTTCCGTTTCTTGTTTTCCTTTTTCCCGAGATCTGTTGGAGGTATCTTGATTTGAGAGATTTTCTAGGGTTTCGTAATTCCACGGGTACGGACTGGATCTCTATTGTCCGGCCGTCAGCGTGATTGGGAAGGAGGGGGGGACTCCTCGGTCTTCCCAGGAGGAGACGGTCGGGGGTTAGGACTTGCGTGATTTGCTCGGAGAAGATCGCCCTTCGGGAGACGGCTGTGGTCAAAGCTCGCGAGCACGCCAAGTGGTTCGTCCTGGACATCTCTCTCTATTTCACGTGTTATTTTGATATCCCGGATGTGCTTCAATTGTCGTGTATCGAGATATGGTTTCCGGCGCTTTGTTGCTCCTGAGGGGCGACTTTTGCATGGCCGATTCACCGTCGGTGGCGGCAACCGGTGGTGCTTTCTCCTCGTCCTGGTTCTTATCCTTGTGCCATAAGACTAAGGACGCAGCAAAGAGGACGAGGCGGTGACGGCCGTGGAGAGGCAGGGAGAGAGGGCCATGAAGTGCGAAGCGGGAGACAAGGCTGCGGCCACAAAGCACCAGCAGTGCTTCGACAAGCTGGGGTGAGGATAGGGGATGGATGGATTAATAGTCCCTGGGTGAGGGATGATGATGGCTCACTATTCGCCTCCTCCCTCCGCTCCCTTTCCTCCCCTTTTGCGGTGGTAATAAGGCTCGTAGATGCTGTTTGGCTGAGTGAGTAGCGAAAGGGAAAGCAGCCGCCATAGTCGTCGTTCTTCTGTGTTATGTTGCTCTCTCCTTTTGTTGTTGTTGTCGTTGTCGTTGTTCTTCGCTGCGTTTCCCTATCGGCTCCGGTTTCGTTTGTGGGTGCGCTGTTATCTTCTTTGAACGTTATTCTTCTTCTCTGTTGTTCTTCATCTCCTGGACACCAGCTTCCCTCTCTTTCTTTATCTATATATATGCATCTCCCGCCTAGTCTCTCCCTCACACACAAGCACGCTCAGATCCATCTTCTTCTCTGCTACGTGGAAGAGACGGGAGCTCGGGGCCTGTTCGGCCGGAAAAGGAACTCCTGCCTGCGGTCGCACTTGCATTTGATGCACGTCGCCACTTCCTCCGACTCTTCCCCGGCCACCTCCCCGGAGGCGGCCCTCCCTCCTCCCGCCCACCCACCAGCCACCGATCGTCAAGAAACCCACAAGGCGCAGAAGAGAGGGAGAGAGAAAGAGACGGCAGCACTCTTTCGCGTTTGAGAACCCGTCGGAGTAGGTGGCGAAGGTGTGCGCCAAGTGCAACTGCGCCCGCAGGCAGGAGGTCCTTTACCACCCGGACAGGGACTACGCCCAAGGACGGGCTACGCCGAGGTTCTCATCCTGAGGTGGGTCCCGTCGGCGCCGATGTCCGGAAGGTGTACTGCTCATCCCACAGGTAATTCTCTGCTTCCCAAAGCTAATGGGTCCAGGAAAAATGATTGAATGAAAAGTGGAGTGGAGGCCTTTTTCTTAGAAAGAGATCACGAGAGATAGATAGCGAGGGGGAGAGAGAGAGAGAGAGAGACAGAGAGATACCTGTGTCCTTCTCTGCCGGTTGCGCCGTCGTCCTGCTCGACCTGGCTAAAAAAAGAGGAATAAGCCGTCGGGAGAACTAAACCCACTTATGGCGGCACCCTCTTCTCTCTCTCACCCACTCGCTCACACACACACAGTCGGGGATCTCGGTTTGGACTCTGATTTCTTCTTTCATTTATATCTGACTGATATACACAACAAAAAATTGGCAGGCAAGCATATGGGCACTATGGTCTCCGTGATTACACGAAACAAAAGGTAAATAATGCCGCCTTGTCCACCACTTCCCTCTTCGTGGCCTTGTTTGCCCGCCTCCCCAACACCACCTCCACCACCCCCCCTTTTTCCAGCTTCTTGTCCCTATGGGTCGAGGACGAGGGCGGTGAGGAGAACAAGCTGTTGGTTTCTGCTGTCGGCTGGGGATGGGCGCGCCGCCGGAGCACTGCCAGTTCAACGGTTGGGCCTCCGTGTGGTTGGCCCTGATGTGGCCGTTGTCGCCCCGCCACCTTGTGTTTGATGAGCAGAATGGAGGTCCGGGCGTCGACATAGCTGTCGCGCTCTATATCATTCTCCTCTTCTCATCCTCCAATCCACCGTAGTAATAATGCTGGTGGTTGTTGAGGTCCTCCTCCGACGCCTTCTGGCCATCCACCGGCACCGAGTGGGGCACGAACCATTCGGCCCTCAGGAGCAGGTGTCCAAGGTTGGGTGGACGATGAGCACCTCGAAGGACGGCTTGCACTGCGGACAGGTTGGGTTCTTGTCCCTGTACGACGCCCATCTCAGGGTGCCGGTGGCGCCGAAGGAGAAAGAAAGTGTGGAGAAATAAACGGCTTCGTGCTATTTATTCTCCACTCTTCCCCTCCCAGTCTGCGTCACCTGCACCATGAGCTGGGCTTCCTGCAAGGACAGGAACCCGACCTTCCCGCCTTGCAAGCTACCCTTCGGATTCCTCATCATCCACCGGATCCCGGACGCCTACTCCTGAGGGCCTAGTGGATTATGCCATTGTCGGCGCCGGTGGATGACCAAGAGGCGACGGAGGAGGACCTCAGCCAGTGTCAGTATGCTTACTGAGGCGGATTGGAGGAGGAAGAGGAGGAGGACCTCACCAGGAGCTCGAGGAGCACTAATACGTCGCCCCCAGGTCGTCCACTCTGCTCCTCAGCAGCAGGCGGTGGGGTGACCATGGCCATATCAGGGCCGGCCACAAGGAGGTTCGGCCGGTGAACTAGTGGGGCCTCTGACGACGCCGATTCACCGTCGGTGGCGGCAACCAGTGGGGCTTTCTCGTCCTGGTTCTTATCCTTGTCCCATAAGACTAAGGACGCAGCAGAGAGGACGAGGTGTGACGGCGGTGGAGAGGCAGGCAAAGAGGGCCATGAAGTGGAAAGCGGGAGACAAGGCTGCGGCCACAAAGCACCGGCAGTGCTTCGACAAGCTGGGGTGAGGATAGGGGATGGATGGATTAATAGTCCCTGGGTGAGGGATGACGGTGGCTCACTATTCGCCTCCTCCCTCGGCTCCCTTTCCCCCTCTTTTGTGGTGGTAACAAGGCCTGTAGATGCTGCTTGGCTGAGTGAGTAGCGAAAGGGAAAGCAGCCGCCATAGTCGTCGCTCTTCTGTGTTATGTTGCTCTCTCCTTTTGTTGTGGTCGTTCTTCTTTGCTGCGTTTCCCTATCGGCTCTGGTTTGGTATGTGGGCGGGCTGTTCTTTTTTCTTGGCGTTATTCTTCTTATTTGCTCGTTGTCTTCCATTTACTAGACATCAGCATATTTTCTTGCGTGCTTGGTCACGTTGTGATCTGTGGTTTTTCAACCACTGGAAGCTGTTTAAGAGTGAACGAGAGAGAGAGAGAGAGAGAGAGGGAGAGAGGGAGAGAGAGATTCATAGTAAAAGGTAGAGAAAGTCTTTGGGCACTGAAGGCTCGAGACCCGGGGGGTTCCACACCGTCCATGGACACGCTAAGCTCATGAGTCATCGACTATAAACAAAGATATCAATGAGCACAATGGTTCTAAAATTTTCTATGAACCCATTTTCTACGAATTTTTAATGGTGCTTTCTCATTATCACCTGATTTTAAAACTTTATTCGTGAATTTAGGCAAATATCAATATACTCTTACCTGACAGTGGAACATCTTGTCTGCTTGGTAATGGCGTGCTTCCTTATCCTTCACACAATATATGAAAATTATTGGCAAAAGCATAGCAGATACGTAATACAGCATTTCAAAAAGCTAAGTAAGAACACAATTTTAAATCTGGCTTTTTCTCCCAAGGATGCATCTTTCCTCTGTTTATGCCGTGTGTGAAATCTCCAGTCATTCACCGTCGGCATGATTGATATCACCTCAATAATACCGGAGAAACAATAAAATATAATCGGCATAAGATAACCGCTCTAATAAAATAGAATCCTGGGTGTCCACCAGTTTCGACCCTGTTTTTATTTTCTTAATTTTCTCATTTTACGTAGTCTACCGTGTTTTTGTTATTTATGTCCTACAGAGTGGACAAGCATGGAAAGTTATTCCACGGACGGGAAGGGCTTATTAAAAATGCACGCAATTGCGCTAGTACACGATCGTCGCCAACCTCCGTCGGCCTCACAGTGAGGCAGTGCTGTTGAGGTAAGCGCACATGATTCTTGCAGAACCCACATGAACTTTTTGGTGCATCTTCGGGGGATCCACCTGCCGCCCCTACCGCCCCTGCCGCCTACAAAATCCTCCTGCTGCGTCTGATCTGTCTTCCGGTGATCGTACAAATCTGAAAGCCGTTCTTGGACGCTGTCTGTGGCGGGCGAACGCGGTGCGGGCCCCATCTTCCCTCCTCCCTCCTCCTTCCCCCCGCGCATCGCGCGTCCGATAGCGCGACCGGCTCTACGTCGGCGGTCGCCCCTGTGGAGAAGGTAATGTGCTCTGAGTCTGCGAATCTTGTGATTTACTCCGTTGAAGAGCTGAGTCGCCGGGGACGGTGTTGGCGACGGGGTCTTTCCGTTTCTTGTTTTCCTTTTTCCCTTGATCTGTTGGGGGTATCTTGATTTGACAGATTCTGTATCGCTTCGTAATCCCACGGGCATGGAATGGATCTGTATTGTCAGGCCGTCCGCGTGATCGGGAGGGAGGAGGAGATTCCTGGGTCTTCTCTGGAGGTGTCGGTCAGGAGTGGGATTTGCGCGATTTGCTTGGAGAAGATCGTTCAGGAGACGGCTGTGGCCAAAGCTCGCGAGCACGCCTAGTGGTTTTTAATTCCTCTCGTTAGTTTTCTTGGACACCTCTCCATCCCTCTTGCTAGTATTTAACCCTATCTGGTTTCTCTCTCTCTCTCTTTCTCTGGCACACGCACTCTCTCTCTCTCTCTCCCTCTCTACTGTCCTCGGAGTTCCCCGAGTCCACGGTTCGTAGTCCGCTCTCCGCCTTGGAGAAGATCGTCGTCGTCTAGATCGCGAGAGCCTTTGTCCGGTTGCGTCGCCACTGTCTCGTCATCTACAGTGCCCAATCATCTCTTCTCCCTCTCCCTTTTATTATCTAAATCTCTCGTGTTTCTCTCGAGCATCATAAACCACCTTACGTCCACCACCGTTTAAATCTCTCGTGTGTCGTTACCCTGCTGAAGCACACACAAGTTGTTTCTTGTTCTCCATGTGCGGCGATGTTTACTCTGACAAAGCAAGTCAAATCTCATTTGACTTGGTGATTGCAATGTGAGTCAACCGTTACAAGAAACAGACGAGATTATGGCTGTGGTTTGTATTGTTGCGGCCGTCCACATGCATCATTGATAGTGTTTATTTTCCTGATTAGCAAAGCATGCGTAATATTTGTTTATTTTTTCCAGTCTATTGAATGTACGAGATTAAACTCAGAATTTTTAATCAATCAGCAAATGGTTACTCCTTTCGATTGTTGGCAGAATTTGAGATTTTTGTACTACTTGAACCCATTTATCTCCCGATATGGCCTACAATCTTACTCTGCATAATACCTGGGACTAACTTTTTCATTCAGTGTAGAGTTACGTATTAAACTCATTGTCTCAACGGTTTCCTTCATGGCCTAAAAATAACCATCGAGCAAGAGATCATGAACGCAATATCTGTAAATCTTTTATAATGTTTTCTCACTATCATGAATGCAATATCAGGAACTTTTTGGCGCGCTTTCGCGGGATGTACCTGCCGTCCCCCGACGCCTATAAGACCTGGTGCTGGGCGTCTGGTGATCGTTCCTATCAAGAAGCTTCTCGTGGACGTCTGGTGATCGTTCCTATCAAGAACCTGGTGAGTGCGCTGTTAGCCCCTTCTTTCCTCCTCCTGCCTTCTCCTCCTCGTTCCCCCAGCCCATCGCCCTTGCGGCATGGCAGGGGGCGTCCGGTAGCGCGACCGGGTCTACGTTGGCGTTCATCCCCGTGGAGAAGGTAATGCGCTCGGACTCTTGAGCTTTACTCCGTCGACAAGGAGTCGGGAGTCTTTCCGTTTCTTGTTTTCCTTTTTCCCGAGATCTGTTGGAGGTATCTTGATTTGAGAGATTTTCTAGGGTTTCGTAATTCCACGGGTACGGACTGGATCTCTATTGTCCGGCCGTCAGCGTGATTGGGAAGGAGGGGGGGACTCCTCGGTCTTCCCAGGAGGAGACGGTCGGGGGTTAGGACTTGCGTGATTTGCTCGGAGAAGATCGCCCTTCGGGAGACGGCTGTGGTCAAAGCTCGCGAGCACGCCAAGTGGTTCGTCCTGGACATCTCTCTCTATTTCACGTGTTATTTTGATATCCCGGATGTGCTTCAATTGTCGTGTATCGAGATATGGTTTCCGGCGCTTTGTTGCTCCTGAGGGGCGACTTTTGCATGGCCGATTCACCGTCGGTGGCGGCAACCGGTGGTGCTTTCTCCTCGTCCTGGTTCTTATCCTTGTGCCATAAGACTAAGGACGCAGCAAAGAGGACGAGGCGGTGACGGCCGTGGAGAGGCAGGGAGAGAGGGCCATGAAGTGCGAAGCGGGAGACAAGGCTGCGGCCACAAAGCACCAGCAGTGCTTCGACAAGCTGGGGTGAGGATAGGGGATGGATGGATTAATAGTCCCTGGGTGAGGGATGATGATGGCTCACTATTCGCCTCCTCCCTCCGCTCCCTTTCCTCCCCTTTTGCGGTGGTAATAAGGCTCGTAGATGCTGTTTGGCTGAGTGAGTAGCGAAAGGGAAAGCAGCCGCCATAGTCGTCGTTCTTCTGTGTTATGTTGCTCTCTCCTTTTGTTGTTGTTGTCGTTGTCGTTGTTCTTCGCTGCGTTTCCCTATCGGCTCCGGTTTCGTTTGTGGGTGCGCTGTTATCTTCTTTGAACGTTATTCTTCTTCTCTGTTGTTCTTCATCTCCTGGACACCAGCTTCCCTCTCTTTCTTTATCTATATATATGCATCTCCCGCCTAGTCTCTCCCTCACACACAAGCACGCTCAGATCCATCTTCTTCTCTGCTACGTGGAAGAGACGGGAGCTCGGGGCCTGTTCGGCCGGAAAAGGAACTCCTGCCTGCGGTCGCACTTGCATTTGATGCACGTCGCCACTTCCTCCGACTCTTCCCCGGCCACCTCCCCGGAGGCGGCCCTCCCTCCTCCCGCCCACCCACCAGCCGCCGATCGTCAAGAAACCCACAAGGCGCAGAAGAGAGGGAGAGAGAAAGAGACGGCAGCACTCTTTCGCGTTTGAGAACCCGTCGGAGTAGGTGGCGAAGATGTGCGCCAAGTGCAACTGCGCCCGCAGGCAGGAGGTCCCTTACCACCCGGACAGGGACTACGCCCAAGGACGGGCTACGCCGAGGTTCTCATCCTGAGGTGGGTCCCGTCGGCGCCGATGTCCGGAAGGTGTACTGCTCATCCCACAGGTAATTCTCTGCTTCCCAAAGCTATGGGTCCAGGAAAAATGATTGAATGAAAAGGAGTGGAGGCCTTTTTCTTAGAAAGAGATCACGAGAGATAGATAGCGAGGGGGAGAGAGAGAGAGAGAGAGACAGAGAGATACCTGTGTCCTTCTCTGCCGGTTGCGCCGTCGTCCTGCTCGACCTGGCTAAAAAAAGAGGAATAAGCCGTCGGGAGAACTAAACCCACTTATGGCGGCACCCTCTTCTCTCTCTCACCCACTCGCTCACACACACACAGTCGGGGATCTCGGTTTGGACTCTGATTTCTTCTTTCATTTATATCTGACTGATATACACAACAAAAAATTGGCAGGCAAGCATATGGGCACTATGGTCTCCGTGATTACACGAAACAAAAGGTAAATAATGCCGCCTTGTCCACCACTTCCCTCTTCATGGCCTTGTTTGCCCGCCTCCCCAACACCACCTCCACCACCCCCCCTTTTTCCAGCTTCTTGTCCCTATGGGTCGAGGACGAGGGCGGTGAGGAGAACAAGCTGTTGGTTTCTGCTGTCGGCTGGGGATGGGCGCCGCCGGAGCACTGCCAGTTCAACGGTTGGGCCTCCGTGTGGTTGGCCCTGATGTGGCCGTTGTCGCCCCGCCACCTTGTGTTTGATGAGCAGAATGGAGGTCCGGGCGTCGACATAGCTGTCGCGCTCTATATCATTCTCCTCTTCTCATCCTCCAATCCACCGTAGTAATAATGCTGGTGGTTGTTGAGGTCCTCCTCCGACGCCTTCTGGCCATCCACCGGCACCGAGTGGGGCACGAACCATTCGGCCCTCAGGAGCAGGTGTCCAAGGTTGGGTGGACGATGAGCACCTCGAAGGACGGCTTGCACTGCGGACAGGTTGGGTTCTTGTCCCTGTACGACGCCCATCTCAGGGTGCCGGTGGCGCCGAAGGAGAAAGAAAGTGTGGAGAAATAAACGGCTTCGTGCTATTTATTCTCCACTCTTCCCCTCCCAGTCTGCGTCACCTGCACCATGAGCTGGGCTTCCTGCAAGGACAGGAACCCGACCTTCCCGCCTTGCAAGCTACCCTTCGGATTCCTCATCATCCACCGGATCCCGGACGCCTACTCCTGAGGGCCTAGTGGATTATGCCATTGTCGGCGCCGGTGGATGACCAAGAGGCGACGGAGGAGGACCTCAGCCAGTGTCAGTATGCTTACTGAGGCGGATTGGAGGAGGAAGAGGAGGAGGACCTCACCAGGAGCTCGAGGAGCACTAATACGTCGCCCCCAGGTCGTCCACTCTGCTCCTCAGCAGCAGGCGGTGGGGTGACCATGGCCATATCAGGGCCGGCCACAAGGAGGTTCGGCCGGTGAACTAGTGGGGCCTCTGACGATGCCGATTCACCGTCGGTGGCGGCAACCAGTGGGGCTTTCTCGTCCTGGTTCTTATCCTTGTCCCATAAGACCAAGGACGCAGCAGAGGGGACGAGGTGTGACGGCGGTGGAGAGGCAGGCAAAGAGGGCCATGAAGTGGAAAGCGGGAGACAAGGCTGCGGCCACGTAGCACCGGCAGTGCTTCGACGAGCCGGGGTGAGGATAGGGGATGGATGGATTAATAGTCCCTGGGTGAGGGATGACGGTGGCTCACTATTCGCCTCCTCCCTCAGCTCCCTTTCCCCCTCTTTTGTGGTGGTAATAAGGCCTGTAGATGCTGCTTGGCTGAGTGAGTAGCGAAAGGGAAAGCAGCCGCCGTAGTCATCGTTGTTCTGTGTTATGTTGCTCTCTCCTTCTGTTGTGGTTGTTCTTCTTTGCTGCGTTTCCCCATCGGCTCTGGTTTGGTATGTGGGTGGGCTGTTCTTTTTTCTTGGCGTTATTCTTCTTATTTGCTCGTTGTCTTCCATTTACTAGACATCAGCATATTTTCTTGCGTGCTTGGTCACGTTGTGATCTGTGGTTTTTCAACCACTGGAAGCTGTTTAAGAGTCGACAGAGAGAGAGAGAGAGAGAGAGGGAGAGAGAGATTCACAGTAAAAGGGTAGAGAAAGTCTTTGGGCACTGAAGGCTCGAGACCCGGGGGGGTTCCACACCGTCCATGGACACGCTAAGCTCATGAGTCATCGACTATAAACAAAGATATCAATGAGCACAATGGTTCTAAAATTTTCTATGAACCCATTTTCTACGAATTTTTAATGGTGCTTTCTCATTATCACCTGATTTTAAAACTTTATTCGTGAATTTAGGCAAATATCAATATACTCTTACCTGACGGTGGAACATTTTGTCTGCTTGGTAATGGCATGCTTCCTTATCCTTCACACAATATATGAAAATTATTGGCAAGAGCATAGCAGATGCGTAATACAGCATTTCAAGAAGTTAAGTAAGAGCACAATTTTAAATCTGGCTTTTTCTCCCAAGGGTGCATCTTTCCTCTGTTTATGCCATGTGTGACATCTCCAGTCATTTACCGTCGGCATGATTGATATCACCTCAATAATACTGGAGAAACAATAAAATATAATCGGCATAAGATAACCGCTCTAATAAAATAGAATCCTGGGTCTCCAGTTTCGACCCTGTTTTTATTCTTTTAATTTTCTCATTTTACGTAGTCTACCGTGTTTTCGTTATTCATGTCCTACAGAGTGGACAAGCATGGAAAGTTATTCCGCGGACGGGAAGGGCTTACTAAAAATGCACGCAATTGCGTTAGTGCACGATCGTCGCCAACCGTCGTCGGCCTCACAGTGAGGCAGTGCTGTTGAGGTAAGCGCACATGATTCTTGCAGAACCCACAAGAACTTTTTGGTGCATCTTCGGGGGATCCACCTGCCGCCCCTACCGCCCCTGCCGCCTACAAAATCCTCCTGCTGCGTCTGATCTGTCTTCCGGTGGTCGTACAAATCTGAAAGCCGTTCTTGGACGCTGTCTGTGGCGGGCGAACGCGGTGCGGGCCCCATCCTCCCTCCTCCCTCCTCCTTCCCCCCGCGCATCGCGCGTCATCGCGCGTCCGATAGCGCGACCGGCTCTACGTCGGCGGTCGCCCCTGTGGAGAAGGTAATGTGCTCTGAGTCTGCGAATCTTGTGATTTACTCCGTTGAAGAGCTGAGTCGCCGGGTACGGTGTTGGCGACGGGGTCTTTCCGTTTCTTGTTTTCCTTTTTCCCTTGATCTGTTGGGGGTATCTTGATTTGACAGATTCTGTATCGCTTCGTAATCCCACGGGCATGGAATGGATCTGTATTGTCAGGCCGTCCGCGTGATCGGGAGGGAGGAGGAGATTCCTGGGTCTTCTCTGGAGGTGTCGGTCAGGAGTGGGATTTTGCGCGATTTGCTTGGAGAAGATCGTTCAGGAGACGGCTGTGGCCAAAGCTCGCGAGCACGCCTAGTGGTTTTTAATTCCTCTCGTTAGTTTTCTTGGACACCTCTCCATCCCTCTTGCTAGTATTTAACCCTATCTGGTTTCTCTCTCTCTCTCTTTCTCTGGCACACGCACTCTCTCTCTCTCTCTCCCTCTCTACTGTCCTCGGAGTTCCCCGAGTCCACGGTTCGTAGTCCGCTCTCCGCCTTGGAGAAGATCGTCGTCGTCTAGATCGCGAGAGCCTTTGTCCGGTTGCGTCGCCACTGTCTCGTCATCTACAGTGCCCAATCATCTCTTCTCCCTCTCCCTTTTATTATCTAAATCTCTCGTGTTTCTCTCGAGCATCATAAACCACCTTACGTCCACCACCGTTTAAATCTCTCGTGTGTCGTTACCCTGCTGAAGCACACACAAGTTGTTTCTTGTTCTCCATGTGCGGCGATGTTTACTCTGACAAAGCAAGTCAAATCTCATTTGACTTGGTGATTGCAATGTGAGTCAACCGTTACAAGAAACAGACGAGATTATGGCTGTGGTTTGTATTGTTGCGGCCGTCCACATGCATCATTGATAGTGTTTATTTTCCTGATTAGCAAAGCATGCGTAATATTTGTTTATTTTTTCCAGTCTATTGAATGTACGAGATTAAACTCAGAATTTTTAATCAATCAGCAAATGGTTACTCCTTTCGATTGTTGGCAGAATTTGAGATTTTTGTACTACTTGAACCCATTTATCTCCCGATATGGCCTACAATCTTACTCTGCATAATACCTGGGACTAACTTTTTCATTCAGTGTAGAGGTACGTATTAAACTCATTGTCTCAACGGTTTCCTTCATGGCCTAAAAATAACCATCGAGCAAGAGATCATGAACGCAATATCTGTAAATCTTTTATAATGTTTTCTCACTATCATGAATGCAATATCAGGAACTTTTTGGCGCGCTTTCGCGGGATGTACCTGCCGTCCCCCGACGCCTATAAGACCTGGTGCTGGGCGTCTGGTGATCGTTCCTATCAAGAAGCTTCTCGTGGACGTCTGGTGATCGTTCCTAGCAAGAACC